AAACCAGTTTTCTATTGGGTGTAATTTATTTTGCTTTTGACCATTGTTCTTCAGAGACATTGTGTGTTACGTGAAGTAGGATGTTTAGCACCAATAATAATGATTTTTGTAAAAAAAAGCTACCGACTGGTCCCCGACAGCCCTCCCCAACAATAGATTTATAACCAATATCAAGGAACTGGGATAACTGGTGTGAGCTTACCAGAGCTAACTGTTATTCAGAAGCACAAGGATCGATTAGTGCTTCCCACCTATTGAATCCCTGTTTTAGTTCCCATTCAAATGGATGGAGCTTGGATGCTGACTTTTATAAGGCTCAGGGGAAGTCCAAATAGGGTTCTGTTAGGCATATTCCTGTGATGAAAAGTCAGATTAGAGAATGCAGCTGAAGACCTTTTTCTGAAATGGTCTGGTTGTTGTCTTTGATGGTCTCAGCAGGGTTGGATAGGATGCTGATGGAGTCAGGGGGCCTGCATTGTGTGGCCATGCCACTTCACGAGTGACCCAGAGTCCTCATTTTACAGATGAGGGTAGTTGTTCTGGAAGCCACTGAGTTCTTACATTTCCTCATTTCAGAAGGTATCTTTGAGTTTACATTTGGGACCCATACCCATTATATTAATATGTTAACCCTTTGCACTTAGATGTTGAGTATGACACTACATGGTTAGCAAAAATTATAGAGATTAAAATTACTCTTTGAATGTATCAAAAATTTGAAATATAAAAAAATCCAAATAAATAAGTTTGTATGAAAAGAAACTCCAGTTTTGGGCCGGGCACGGTGGCTCACGCCTGTAATCCTAGCACTCTGGGAGGCGGAGGCGGGTGGATTGCTCGAGGTCAGGAGTTCGAAACCAGCCTGAGCAAGAGTAAGACCCTGTCTCTACTATAAATAGAAAGAGATTAATTGGCCAACTAATATATATAGAAAAATTAGCCGGGCATGGTGGCGCATGCCTGTAGTCCTAGTTACTCGGGAGGCTGAGGCAGGAGGATTGCTTGAGCCCAGGAGTTTGAGATTGCTGTGAGCTAGGCTGGTGCCATGGCACTCACTCTAGCCTGGGCAACAAAGTGAGACTCTGTCACACACACAAAAAAAGAAACTCCAGTTTTTTATTCTACTGCCATGCTTTGTAAAATCTGGGGTATTTAAAAAATTAAATCTCGAGTAGAATAAAGGAATTGAGAAAAAAGCAAGTGCGTGTAAAGGGTTAATAGTTACTAGGGCTGCCATGACAAAGTACCACAAACTCAGTGGCTTAGAGCAACAGAAATTTACGTCTCACAGTTCTAAAGGCTAGACGTCCCAAATCAAAATGTTGTATGACCATGTTCCCTCTGAAATCTGTAGGGGAGGATCTTTTTTTTTTTTTGAGACAGAGTCTCGCTTTGTTGCCCAGCTAGAGTGAGTGCTGGCATCAGCCTAGCTTACAGCAACTCAAACTCCTGGGCTCAAGCAATCTCCTGCCTCAGCCTCCGAGAGCTGGATTACAGGCATGTGCCACCATGCCGGCTAATTTTTTCTATATAATATTAGTTGGCTAATATTATTCTTTCTATTTATGGTAGAGACGGGGTCTCGCCTTGCTCAGGCTGGTTTCGAACTCCTGACCTCCGAGCAATCGCCGCCCGGCCTCCAGAGTGCTAGATTACAGGTGTGTGCCACCACCCCGGCCTGTAGGGAGGTCTTTTCTTCCCTATTCCAGTTTCATCTTTTTGTTTGTTTTTTTTTTTTTTTTTTTTTTTGAGAACAGAGGTCTCTTTGATCTGCCCAGGCGTAGAGTGCCATGGGCGGCACCTAGCTCACAGCAACCTCAGACTCCTGGGCTCAAGCGATCCTCCTGCCTCAGCTCCCGAGTAACTGGGACTACAGGCATGCGCACCATGCCGCGTAATTCTTTCGTGTATTGTATTAGTTGGCCAATTAAATGTTTCTTCTATTTATAGTAGAGACGGGTCTCGCTCTTGTTCAGGCTGGTTTTGAACTCCTGACCTTAGCACATCCACCCGCTCGGCCTCAAGAGTGCTAGAGATTACAGGCGTGGCACCGCCGCACCAGCCTGGCTCCAGTTTCATCTTAACATCATTTATCTCAGCTTTGTTTATTTTCATGCTTTATAAAGTATGGTGTGTGCAACCTGATGTGCCACCAACTGACTTTTAAAAAATATTTTAAATTTATTTAATTTTTGTTTTATCTGTGGCCAGATTAGAGTGCAGCGGTTCATCATAGCTCACCTGCAACTCAAACCCTGGCTCAAGCAGTCCTCCTACCTCGCCACTGAACAGCTGTCCTACAGGCATGGGCCACCCTGTAAATTTTCTATTTTTTTGTAGAGATGGTCTGCACTGTGTTCACAGGCTGGTTTCGAACTCTGGCCTCAAAGTGATCTCCGTATCACAGCTCGCAGTGGGTTGAGATTTTAGGCATTGAGCACAAACCCAGCCCAACTGCTTTATCCTCTTCAGCCGATGTTCCAGGAAATGAAGCGGGCCTTGTGTAGAAATAATGTATGAGCTACATGCTTTGTAGTTATGTGCAGGTCACTAGAAAAAATACTGACTCTGATATTAAGTACTTGTTTTTGTTTCAGAAGCATTTCTATTTCTGTACTTTCATGTATATTTGGTCTTCGTATTAAGGTTTTATTTGCACTATCTTAGTATTAAGGTTTACAACATTACCTTGTAGCGAAACTTTTTCTTTGTTCTTTTAGGGAGTTGCTGTAAAATGGAACTTGATTGTATTACTGGCTTGGTGGCTGTTCCTGGTAAAGGCGATTCAAAGCTGTTACACTCTCTTACTCGAATGGATTTTCTACCCGTTTGTTAGAGCCGGTGAAGAATGACATGGTTTTTTCTTTTCATGGTGTTTGAGTAGTCTCTGCCAGTGAAATTCAGGGACTTTTTTTTTTGAAGACAGGTCTCACTTGTTGCTAGGCTAGAGTGAGTGCGTGGCTCAGCCTAGCTCACAGGCAACCTCAAACTCTGGCTAGCAATCCTGGTCAAGATCTTCTGCTCGCCTCAGTAGCTGGGCATACAGCATGGGACATGCTGGCTAATTTTTTATATATATTTAGTTGCAATTAATTTCTTTCTATTTATAGTAGAGACGGGGTCTCGCTCTTGCTCAGGCTGGTTTCGAACTCCTGACCTCCAGCAATCCGCCCGCCTCGGCCTCCCAGAGTGCTAGGATTACAGGCGTGAGCCACCGCGCCCGGCCTCTATATATTTTTAGTTGACCAATTAATTTCTTTCTATTTTTTAGTAGAGATGGGGTCTCACTCTTGCTCAGGGTGGTTTTGAACTCCTGACCTTGAGCGGCCCACCTCGGCCTCCCAGAGTGCTAGGATTACAGATGTGAGCCACTGCGCCTGGCCTGAACCTGTTTTTTTAGTAGGACTAAGTCTGTATGGATTCAGAGAGATAGTAGGGAACTTCTTTATACAAATATACTGAATTAGTTAAATTATGTTATCTTCCAGGAAAAGCATAAGTATTGTAGTAAGGGAAGAGAGTTGTACTTACACTTTCTCCTTCTTTGAAGAAAGTTTTAAGAGGTGATTAATAAAGGGAAGAGGAGAGCTTGGCAAGAGGTGGGGGAAAGAAGACATGCTCCTCTTAGGAACTTGGAAGAAGACCCCAAGATAAGAGAGTACAGAGGGGAATCTGAGGAAATGAACAGGTTTTAACTGTTCTAAGATGTATGTGTTCTGACATCTCCAGAATCAGGATGCATTTTTAATAAAATAAAGAAGTTATCTTACAATTATAATGAGTAGCATTTTTCATAAAATAATGGTATGTCTTAACATTGATAAAACACAATGTAGTCAATAACTTCTTGGGAAATTTTATATTCCAAGTGTGCTTTTTAGCTGCAGCTTATAATGTAATGAGATACCTCACTTTATAGCCAGGTTTTATATGTTTATGGATGCTAACTTATTGTATCTCAAGTAATGTGTAGTTAGGACTTAATAGATACTCTTTCCAAAGGGTAAAAATGTGGGTAGATTGTAAAGCAAGCACTTGGTGTAAGTTTCAGTGTATGATAATGCTAGAAATTTGAACTGTCATGACCCAGTTAACTATGTGGTCATCTTCAATTTAGAATTTTTTTCTTTTAACATTTTCCCCTTAGTCTCTGGAAAAATGTGAATGAAGAGTTTTGTTTTGTTGATTATGTATGAATGGTTGCACCTCCTAGGGAAAAAGCCTCATTTGGTGTTGCCAAGAGGACCAGTGGGAAAGTGGGACGTGTAGGAGCTGCTCTTGACGTGCTCAGGAGCCTATTGGACTTTCTGCTGAATAGACTTTCTTCCATCATTTCTCTTTTCCTCCCTTTTCTCAGCAATGAAATGGCAAAACAAAAACCCCAAAAGAGAACCCCAAACCCACTGTATGTATTTCATAGTGATGTTACAGTAGCTAATTTGATAAATGGATTGAGCTCCTCAAATGTCAGAACTGTATTAGATAGAGAATAGTTGTAAAAGTGAAGCAACTGAAGGTCCGTTGAGATCCTGACTGACTACTTGAATCAGAACTCAAATAACTGAACTTTCTTTTTCTGGCTAATCTTATTTTTGATGATTTGTCTGGTATAAATCCAAGTCATTGAGATTTACTATCACTTTATGGATAAAATTGTCCAGTTAAGTGTAACAGATGTTTTATGATATTCTGCTTATCTTTTTTTTTTTTTTTTTGAGGCAGAGTCTCTGTTGCCCAGGCTAGAGTGCCGTGGCGTCAGCCTAGCTCACAGCAACCTCAAACTCCTGGGCTCAAGTGATCCTCCTGCCTCAGCCTCCCGAGTAGCTGGGACTACAGGCATGCGCCACCATGCTGGGTTAATTTTTTATATATATATTTCTTTAGTTTCTATTTTTAGTAGAAACGGGGTCTCACTGTTGCTCATGCTGGTCTCAAACTCCTGACCTTGAGCGATCTACCGGCCTGGGCCTCCGGAAGTGCTAGGATTATAGGCGTGAGCCACCTCGTCCAGCCTGCTTAACCTTTTTAAGTGAATTATATTTCAGTACTTTTGGTTTGATTTACACTGATTTCTTGGTATTTATACATTGTTGTAGAATATTTTTATAGTATATTCCTATGGACTTTTGAGAAAGAATGCTAAAATTGTCAGAATTAATTGCTTAATTTTTTTCAGTTGTTTTGATCACTATGAAGTGGGTAGGGTATAATGTTTTTTTCACTAACTCTTCCATCACAAACATTTCCCCCTTTCATGATATCCTTGGTCATTGCCATTTTGGTTCACTATTGTTAGGCCTCTGCTCCTGTCGCTATTTGCATACAGTTTGTCAAAGTAATAGGACATGTAGGCAACTCAGACATGAGCTCTGCTTATTTGAATTTACTCTGTATTCCCCTCTCCAGCTAGCTGAGGCCACCGTTCTTCACTTCTATGTCTGTGCCAGATTCTATGATGGATTGTGGCACCCTGTCCATCTGGATGAGGGTGAATGGTCAGAATCTTTTTCTTTCCTTTTTCTTCATTTTGGTGGGGGGTTTTTGAGGGGGCTGCTGAGTTGCCTTGTTTGTGTTTGTTGAGACAGAGTCTCACTCTGCTGCCTTGGGTACAGTGCACTGGCATCACTGTAGCTCACTGCAACCTTCAGCTCCTGGGCTCTAAGCCATCCTCCTGCCTCAGCCTCCTGGGTAGCTGGGACTACAGACAGGAGCCACAATGCCTAACTTGGTTTTTGTCTTTTTACTTCTTTTTTTTCCTTTTTCTTTTTGGTAGAGACAGGCTCTTGCTCAGGTGTCCCGGCCCGTGGGACCTTCTGTTACTCGCGGGGGCGAGGGGGACCGTGCCTGAAAGAGATGGGCGTGAGAAAGAAACGAGACCAAGCGAATGGTTGTCAAGGTCTACTTTACTTGGATTTTTAGTAGGTTTTATATACAGAAAACAAGGAAGTAGAAACAGAAAAATAGAATGGGGGGATGATGAGGCTTGGGTGTGGGCTAATCAGCCGCAATCAGCATCTCAATGGCACCGATAGCTGTAATGCATTCTTCTGGGAACTATAGCTGGAGGGCTGGGTGCTATTTTCATCTTAGGCTATTCTTCGTGCGTAGGACCAGTCAGGACAAGTCGTTGGAATGTGGAGGGTCTTAGTCTCCAACACTCAGGCTGGTCTTGAACTCCTGAGCTCAAGCAATCCTCCTGCCTCGGCCTCCCTGAGTGCTAGGATTATAAGTGTGAGCCACCGCACCCGGCTGACATTTGTCAAGTATGTTTTCAGCAGCTAGAGTGGCTAACAGAAATGTTATGTAAATAGGTATTATTATTAAAATCAAAACCAATAATCATTTGTTGAGTGCTGGATAGTATAATGGCCTAAGAATGTAGCTTAATAAAGGTATCAATCATCTGGACTTGAATTTACATTCCACTCTTTCCATTTACTAACTCTGTGCCCTTAAGCAAGTTAGTAACATCTCTGTGTAGTAGTTTCTTTATTCAAAACAGGATTATGTATCAGGGTGGCTGTGTGGATATGAGGATATGGGTGAATATGCTGAGTGTTCTGACTGTCACATGATAGACCCTCCTTGAATATTCACTTCCTCTTCTCTTCTGGTCCTGGGTAGAAGGAAGACTAATTGTGCTGTCCCGCAATAACTTTGGAAACCTAAGAAAAAAAAATTATCACCAGATTTGTACTATCTAGTAGACATTCATTGAGGCTATTTTGTAGTTTTTTTTGTCATATATTAAAATCTTGTTGTAGATTATGACATTTCAAAACGTTTATAAATGGAGAGAATGGTATAATGTGCTCTCTGAGTGCCCATCACCCAGTATATATAGGTGTGTGTGTGTGTGTGTATATATATATATATTTTTTTTTTTTTTTTTTAAGAGATGGGATCTTGCTCTGTTGTCCAGGTTGGAGTATAGTACATGGTTATAGCTCATTACAACCTCAAACTCCTGAGTTCAAGCAATCCTCCTGCCTCAGCCTCCTGAGTAGCTGGGATTATAAGGTCGAGTCACTGTGCCAGGATATCATCAGCTATATTTATTTATTTATTTATTTTTGAGACAGAGTCTCACTCTTGCTCGGGCTAGAGTGCCATGGTGTCAGCCTAGCTCACAGCAACCTCAAACTCCTGGGCTCAAGCAATCCTCCTGCCTCAGCCTCCCGAGTAGCTGGGACTATAGGCATGTGCCACCATGCCTGGCTAATTTTTTCTATATATCTTAGCTGGCCAATTAATTTCTTTGTATTTATAGTAGAGACAGGGTCTCATTCTTGCTCAGGGTGGTTTTGAACTCCTGACCTTGAGCAATCCGCCCGCCTCGGCTTCCCAGAGTGCTAGGATTACTGCCATGAGGCACTGCACCTGGACTCATAACTAGTTTTAACCATAATCAATTCTAGTCAGCCACCACCACTATCCTCTCTCCTCTTCCTCTGGAATGTTTTAAAGTAAATCCTAGACATTATGGAATTTCACCTATGAAATCATAGACTTTTATTCGATGGAATAGGTATAAGAAGCTTAAAATCATAACATAAAACAATCTTAAAAATACTATTTAAAAAGGCAGCATTCCTTTAATTATATCTTGTATTGTTCTCCTCTCTCCTGGATTATTTCAGTGGATCTACTAATTAATTTTCTTAAGAATGTTCCACTCTTAAACCTTGTAAGACTTTTTTATGCAGTGGGATTAAAAAGAATATATGTTTCATGAGGTTTTCCTATAATTATATGAAAAGCATGTATTTATTTGTGTATGGCCTTTACCAGGAAAGTCTTAGCTTGAGTGAATCCTTGTTCTCACCACAACTGATGAGTGTGTCATCTGGTTCCCTGCTGCTAGCTTATCTTCAAATACACCTTTAATTAATAAATTTAGTTTTTATTTGCATATCACAATGTATCTGTCTTAGTACCTGGTTTCTTAGATTCTAAGGTTGGTATGGTCTCTATGTTAGTTACTAGAAACCCTAGAAAAATACTACTCTCAAGGAGGCATTAAGTAATTTAATATATTATGATAATGGGTATTTTCAGAAACCTACTTTTAGAGAAGCTATGCATTATCAGGAAATGTTTCTTATTTTTCCCATATTTCTATGTCTAGCTGTGGAGTAGAGTGAGAGTTGTACACCCCAGTGTTGACAAGTAATGGGAAAATCTTCCTTTGGCTAGGTAAGCTGAGATCCAGATCTATAGTTTGCTTTAAGACAGTGAAAGATCACCACTATATTAGTATTATGACTCAGAGGAGAAGATAATTAATTGATATGAATCATCCAATTACTCCATGAATTTCCTTTTAGGGGTCTTAGATTCTTGAATGAAGGGAAGTTTAGTTTGGCCATTATTTTAGGTTGGTAGTATAAAGTCTGAAAAAAATTAAGATGACATTAAGTTCTTAGTCTTGATTTTGTTAGATTGGTTCTAATTTTATTTTTTATTTTTAAATTTTTTATACAGACAGGATCTTACTCTGTTGCCCAGGCTGGTGTGGAGTGGTGTGATCATAGCTCACTATAACCTCAAACTCCTGGGATCAAGTGATCTTCCCACCTCAGACTCCTGTCTAGCTGGGACTGCAGGCGTACAACACCATGCCTTAAAATTTTTTAAGTTTTTGTAGGGACAGGGTCTTGCTGTGTTGCCCAGGCTGGTTTCAAACTCCTGGCTTCAAACGATCCTTCTGCTTTGGGCTCTCAGAGTGTTGGGATTATAGGCGTGAGCCACTGTGCCCAATGAAATCAGTGGTAATTTTAAACTAACATTTGGTGATCTTGAAAATTTGACTTTATGGATGTTAAAAGATTATAACATGCTTCCTTTAGTCTCCCAGAAGTTTTTCTAGGGTTCATGTTTTACTGTGGGAGAAGCTCAAGCAAAAGATAATTTTTATTCTTTATAAGGCCTTTCAGAAAATATGTGAGAGCAGAACTAGTACTAGAATTATCAATTCCTAATTCTGCTTCCACTACTGACAGCATTTTTGCCAATGGGGTTTTATAAGCTTTCTTGATATTGGGATTTCCCTGTTGTTAACAACATTTTTATTCAGGTTTTATACGAAATATCTATTAAGCTATAAAATCACTGAGTTAATAAGCTAATAATTTATTAATAGCTAATAAGGTAGTAAGACTTGCTTATCATTAAAAAACATATATTATACCTAAAGAAATATAGTACATATTATAGACTAAAAGCCAAACATTTAGAAACATCAAAATCTATTTTTACTCTTTTTAGTAATACAGTTTATATTAAGACATTTTATTAAGTTGTTGTATTTCTGACATTTCCTCCTTTTCTCCCAGTGAGTTTTTAGCAGAAGACAGTCAAGAGAAATTTTGGAATTTTGTAGAAGCCAGTCAAAATATTGGATCATCAGATCTTCACGGTAAAATTGAAGCAAATGCTTCTTTGACTTTGGTGTCTGGGAAAACATTAGGAAAATATTGTCTCTTTTGTAGTATGTGTGGCATGGCAGTTAATGGAAAACATTTTTGTCTTCATTGACTAGAATTGTGATGGTAGTCAGGAAGAGCCAACCCTTATTTTTTAAGCAGTTTATATCTTTGTCTATAAATAGTACCTTTTTTCCCTACCTTGGTTTTGTTCTATCATGATCTTTTATTAAAGTGTTATGTGACTATTTTGTGCAGGTACCTTTCATTTTAAATAATTTAGTATTGACTTTATTGACTTAATAACCATCTGGTTTGATTCACTCTTCCTTTAGTTATGAATTATTTATACGACTGATCTATTAATAGTACCTGTTCAGTTTGTTATCACTAAGTTAGTATCATCCAGAATGTTTTCATTTCTTTTCTTTTCTTTTTTTTTTTTTTTTGAGACACAGTCTCACTTTGTTGCACAGGTTAGAGTTAGTGCCGTGGTGTCAGCCTAGCTCACAGCAACCCCAATCTCCTGGGCTCAAGCGATCCTGCTACCTCAGCCTCCCGAGTAGCTGGGACATAGTGTGGCCACTATGCCCAGCTCATTTTTTTGTATATATATTTTTACTTGGTCAATTAGTAGAGACAGGGGTCTTGCTCTTGCTCAGGCTGGTCTTGAACTCCTGAGCTCAAATGATCCACCCACCTTGGCCTTCCAGAGTGCTAGGATTACATGGGTGAGCCACTGTGCCCAGCCATCCAGAATGTTTTCTTTTTCTTTTTTTTTTTAATTTTTAATTTTTATCTTTTTTAATTTAATTTTTTAATTATATAATTTATTTACTTTTTCACTCTATTAATAGACATTTAAGTGATTTTAATTTTTTTAAGTGATCTTACATAATGTTTTCTATTATGCCTGCCAGCCACTTACAACTTGAGTGTCAAGATATAAAATTAATTATGTATCCTGTGTGACTCGTTTATTGTTTTTATGAAGCGCTTTCACAAACATTTTCTAATTTGATACAAGCTATATCGGGTATAAACATTAATAATGAAAGAAACTGATATATGAGTAGTTATAATCTTAAATATTACATTGACAGGTATAAGTCCTTTTTGAAGAGGAAATGTTTGAAACTTGTGTGACTGTTGTTTTTTAATAGAATTGATTTTTTAACTTTTTCATTTTTATTTAAATAGTACACATTTGAAAAGTTGTCTGGATCCTTTTTTTGTGCTATAGATACATAAACGTTTTGAACGAGCATCTCTTAATTAAACGTCTACTGGAATTAAGCTATCAAAAATAATTTAAAAATTTTGTAGAACAAATTTATCACAGTGGGTTTATAATGATATTTGAGCTCTGACATTTAAAATGAAATTTCTTCAGGATAAGTGATAAATATTCTTGGTTAAAATTATGGGAGTATGAATTCTTAGAAGTGATCATAAAAGGATGTTAAACATTTTGTTTATTCAAAATATTATTCATATTTCTACCATCCAAAGATTGACACTACTAACATTCTGGCAACAATTTTAGGTATTTCTGGTCTCTTTTTCCATGTAGAAGATGCTAATGTAGTATAAAACCTTTTATATTTTTGCCTTTTAAAATGTTAATATTGTTCTGTTTAAAATTGAAAATTTTAATTTTTTGAATGGATATAAGTGATTCAGAAGTCAAAGCTGTATAAAAGGCTGTACACAGAAAGATCTTGTTCCTTCCTTGTCCTTATTCCTTCTGTTTCTCACCTGCTTTTTACAATTATTTTATTTTATTTATTTATTTATTTTGAGACAGAGTCTATGTTGCTAGAGTGCTGTGGCGTCAGCCTAGCTCACAGCAACCTCAAACTCCTGGGCTCATGTGGTCCTCCTGCCTTATTCTCCCAAGTAGCTGGGACTACAGGCATGCATCACCATGCCCAGCCAAGTTTTTCTATATATATTAGTTGGTCAATTAGTTTCTTTCTATTTATAGTGGAAATGGGGTTTCACTCTTGCTCAGGCTGGTTTTGAACTCCTGACCTCGAGCAATCCGCCCACCTCGGCCTCCCGGAGTGCTAGGTTACAGGCGTGAGCCACCTCGCCCGGCCCTACAATTATTTTAAATTAATTTGTTTAGCCTTCAGTGTTTTTTATAAGTACATATGTGTATATTTTTATTTTTCATTCTTTCTGAAAAAAAAAAAAAAAGCTTCCTATGTACATTGCTTTGTACCTTTGCTTTTCATTTATCCTGAGGGACTTTTGTCATACTGGTACACAGATTTTTTTCCCCCTTCAAATAATTTTGTCTAACTTTTTGTTTAAATATTTCTTCCCAAACTTTATAATTTCCTTAATATCCTTTAATACCATGTCCTTCCACATTGCATTGCTCAGTTTGGTTTAGTTATTTGAGTGGATAACATGTGCTATTCAATGTGGATACAAAGGTAAATTAGTGACAGCTTCTGCCTTTGGGGGCCCAGAGCCTGGTTAGGGTAGTAGATAAGACAATAAGTAAATAATTTAGTAAATGATGTGATAAGTGAAGAAGTAAGGAAGTAAATATTTTGGGATCAAAGAATAGATATAAATAGTCCACTGAAGCTTGGGATAGGTATGGGGCAACTTCCTGGAGTAGGTTTTTTCATAGCTGAATTTTTTCTGAGGAAGTAGGTCATCCAGGTAAGAAGGAAAATAGCAGTCCAGGAGAGGGAGTAGTTTGAATGAAGGGAAGAAGAAAGGAAGAGTCGGCTGCATTGTGTATTCCAGGGAATTTTAAGGATTTGAGAACAGTTCAAGACAGTATACTGGTAAAATATTGCCATCACATACCTTTGCAACATACAGCTTTATGCTTTGGGAAGTATCTTATTTGGATATCTTGAGTCATATACAATTATTTTGGTTAATGTTCTTTCTTGACAGGTACTGATTATTCCTATTATCATGCAATATTGGAAGCTGCATTTCAGTTTCTGTCACCTCTACAGCAGAATTTGCTGAAATTTTGTCTATCTCTTCATTCCTACTCGGCAACGATTCAAGCCTTCCAGCAGGTGAGTTCAGTGAGGCTAGAGAACAGCATTTAGTAGGGTGCATGGCATGACGATTGCAGTTTCCAGGGAATGAATTGCAGAGCTATCGCTTTTTTCCTGAAATTTTCTAGGATTTATTATTTGTTTTAAAATATTAAGCAGGCTGGGCGAGGTGGCTCACACCTGTAATCCTAGCACTCTGGGAGGTGGAGGTGGGTGGATTGCTCAAGGTCAGGAGTTTGAAACCAGCCTGAGCAAGAGCGAGACCCCCTGTTTCTACTATAAATAGAAAGAAACTAATTGGCCAACTAATATATATAAAAAAATTAGCCGGGCATGGTGGCGAATGCCTGTACTCCCAGCTACTCAGGAGGCTGAGGCAGCAGGGTTGCTTGAGCCCAGGAGTTTGAGGTTGCTGTGAGCTAGGCTGACGCCATGGCACTCACTCTAGCCTGGGCAACAAAGCGAGATTCTGTCTCAAAAAAAAAAAGAAAAAGAAAAAAAAATTTGGCCTCAATGTGTAATGCCACCTAGAAAAAGGGGGTGAAAGCGTTTTCTGGATTGTCTTTGAGACCTTTTCATTTTGAAATACACAAAAGTGCCATCATCTGCTAACAGGGAAATGTGAGCTTTGGACAACAGATAGGAAAGCATCAATGCAGGGAGGAAGAGGAGGCCTGGTCTGGCATGGGTCAAAGAGGAGGGACCACTGATGTAATGCAGCTCGGAGAAGAAAGGAGGAAAATGGGTAGAAAGCACTTACAGAACCCTGTGGGGAAGAGTACATGTGACACAACAATGAAGATGGAGCAGATATAACAGAGAAAGATAGTGGTAAACTGTGAAGAGAGATAGGAAATTAGGGAAGGCATTGTGAGGGAGGGAGGCACAAAAGCAGGGAAACAAGTGGAAGTGCTTACAAGAACACGTAGGAGGCCTGGTGTGGTGGCCACGCCTATAATCCTAGCACTCTGGGAGGCCGAGGTGGCTGGATTGCTCCAGATTGCTCAAGGTCAGGAGTTTGAAACCAGCCTGAGCAAGAGCGAGACCCGATCTCTACTATAAATAGAAAGAAATTAATTGACCAACTAAAAATATATATACAAAAAAAAAATTAGCCAGGCATGGTGGCGAATGTCTGTAGTCCAAGCTACTTGAGAGGCTGAGGCAGGAGGATTGCTTGAGCCCAGGAGATTGAGGTTGCTGTGAGCTGGGCTGACACCACGGCACTCACTCTAGCCTGGGCAACAAAGTGAGACTCTGTCTCGAAAAAAAAGTACACACAAGAGAAAAAGGTGCAAGACACCTTGCAAATTTCAGGGAATTCAGAATTCAGTTGGATCAGGAAAAGTCCAACTTAATCCTTCCCCACCTCACGGTACCTTCAGCTTATGGAAGCTCTTACTTGAAGCTCTTAGTCGCCTGTTGCAGAGTGGGTATTCGGTAGATGTTAGTTTTTTCTTTTATTAATATCATTTTATTATATTTTAATCACTTATTTAGAATATACATGTCTCCATCTTGTCGTTTTTTTTTTTTTTTTTTTTTGAGACTGAGTCTCACTCTGCTGCCTAGGCTAGAGTGAGTGCCGTGGCGTCAGCCTAGCTCACAGCAACCTCAAACTCCTGGGCTCTCAAGCAATCCTCCTGCCTCAGCCTCCCGAGTAGCTGGGACTACAGGCGTGTGCCACCATGCCTGGCTAATTTTTTTTTTGTATATATATTTTAGTTGGTCAATTAATTTCTTCCTATTTATAGTAGAGATGGGGTCTCGCTCTTGCTCAGGCTGGTTTTGAACTCCTGACCTCAAGCAATCCGCCTGCCTCGGCCTCCCAGAGTGCTAGGATTATAGGCGTGAGCCACCGTGCCCAGCCCTCCATCTTGTCTTCACTTAGAATTTTAAGAAATTATGGATTGTGTCTTACATGACAGATAGCGGCTGATGAACCTCCACCAGAAGGATGTACATCATTTTTTTCAGTGCATGGAAAGAAGACTTGTGATTTTGTTACTCTTGAGACTCTTCTACTAACAGCGTCTGAAAGGTAGATTGTGTATTTGTTTAAATGTCATACATTTCCTTGTGTTTCTTCTATATTAAGTCTACCTACTGATTTTTATCTGTTTTATAGTCTATAGGTATAATGGTTTGGAGTATGGATTCTGGAACAGACTGACCAGATTTGAATTTGAGCTCCATCACATAAAATAGTTTTGTGAAATGGGGCAAATTACTTTCTTTGCTCATCTCATTTCAAAATGGAGATTATAAGAGTATTTAACATTATTGTTATTACTTAATAATAACTGTATCTGAGAGATTACATAGGCTTTGTCATTAGCTTAGTAAGGAATACTGTGTATATTAAAGCCAGTGTGACTGCAGTAGTGATATTAATGTTAATGATCTCTCAGTATATTATTAATAGTAGTTTCAGGCCCGGCATGGGGGTCACACCTGTAATCCTAGCATTCTGGGAGCCCGAGACGGGAGGATTGCTCAAGGTCAGGAGTTCAAAACCAGCCTGAGCAAGAGCAAGACCCCGTCTCTACTATAAATAGAAAGAAATTAATTGGCCAACTTAACATATATAGAAAAAATTAGCCAGGCATGGTGGTGCATGCCTGTAGTACCAGCTACTCGGGAGGCTGAGGCAGAAGGATTGCTTGAGCCAGGAGTTTGAGGTTGCTGTGAGCTAGGCTGATGCCATGGCACTCTAGCCCAGGGAATAAAGTGATACTCTATCTCAAAAAAAAAAAAAAATTGTAGTTTAAGAAAGAGAATATTTAAATAATAATTGCAAACTTGACTTGTATATTAAATTGGTAATTCATGTGCTAGATTTTTGCCTAACAGTAGGTTTCCTGTGTTGGACAACTGTACTAAGGACCTGTGTTGTTGTTTGGCTAGGCAGCAAGCCCACTGTAGTTCTCTAATGCTGTAGTAAATACCATAACAGTGATCTCTACCTGGTCTTAATCTGCTCTGTCAAGAATGCTAATGGCAGTTTAGGCGGCAGTGTAGGTCTTTGGTGAGATTTTCTGCCCAGCATCTGTCCCCAGCTCACCAAATTGCGTTAGTGCTTCTTACTCAGGGCGACAACCAGAAAACGCAGTGTGTTGGCTGGATGTGGTGACATGTGCCTTTAGTTAGTCTCAGCGATTCAGGAGGTTGAGGCAAGAGGATTGCTTGAGCCCAGGAGTTTGATACCAGCCTGGGTGACATAGGGAGACCTCCTCACCGAAAAAAAAAATCCTCAAACCAAAACAAAAGATAAAAAACAACAAAAAAGGCATTGTGTATTGCAGTTATCTCAGGATCAAGGTATAGACATTTGAAAATGGTAATGAAGTCGTGCTCTCTTAGGGGAAACAAAATTGACAGCTTAGTAATTCTTTAAAAAAATGTTTAATTTGTTGACAACAATAATGCATACTTTTATAAGGAAAAGAATGACTGTCTTCTCTTCTGAGAGGCAGTAACTACTTTTAATGGTTTGGCATATATACTTTTAGACTTTTTTCTGTGGTTTTAAGTTTATACTTGGGTAGGTTTATTTTTATAAGGCATCTTTTCATTTTGTATGTGTAAGTGTACCTCATTGTTTTTAACACATGCATAATAACTATGTAAGATTGTCTTGTACTTTTACTGATTGTTTTTAAGTTGTTTCTATGTTTTTGCTATTACAGTAAGGCTGTAGTGAACATCCTTATTCATATGCATTTATCTGCTGTTGGATAATATAGTTTATTATAAAAAGGGATTGGCAGGCTATAGAGTATATGTATTAAGATCTATTAATATCTTGATGCCATCCTTAGAGTAGTTTTTACTTTTTTTTTTTTTTTTTTTGAGACAGAGTCTCACTTTTTTGTCCAGGCTAGAGTGAGTGCCGTGGTGTCAGCCTAGCTCACAGCAACCTCAAACTCCTAGGCTCAAGTGATCCTTCTGCCTCAGCCTCCCGAGTAGCTGGGACTACAGGCATGAGCCACCATGCCTGGCTAATTTTTTCTATTATATATCAGTTGGCCAATTAATTTCTTTCTATTTATAGTAGAGACGGGGTCTCGCTCTTGCTCAGGCTGGTTTTGAACTCCTGACCTTGAGCAATCCGCCCGCCTCGGCCTCCCAAGAGCTAGGATTACAGGCGTGAGCCACCGCGCCCGGCCGTTTTTACTTTTTTTGAGAAGTTTTAAAATTTGTAAGGAAAACTGAAGTAAGTCCATTAGTAGAAAGATCATGATAGTAAAAAGAGTGGAGGAAAGAGATTTACTGTAATTGGCAAGTAACATGCATAACATAATCCTTTGCTTCTTGCATTATTTGTAGGTATGTTTTCAGATAAAAGGATAATCATGTTCTATTTATATGGTAGAAAAAATACCCAAGAAGTTTTAAGCTGGGTGTGGTACCACGAGCCTGTAGTTCTAGTTACTTAGGAGGCTGAGGCAAGAGAGTCAGTTGAACCTGGGAGTTTGAATCTAACCTGGGCAACATGGTGAGGCCCCTTCTCTCTCTCTTTCTCTCTCTCTCTCTCTCACACACACACACACACACACACACACCACACACACACACACATTCACATGCACAGACACTGAGTACTCTGAGATTTGAATATGTGTTCTTTTTCTTACTTTGTTATTCCCTTTTTAGGATTTAGTAGGAATTATTAATCAAAATCTGTGTATTATAGTTAGTATGTTTTATAATGCACCTTTGTTATTTTTAATCGTGAACAAATAAGACTTATAGGTCATGATATTCTTACTAAGTGAAAACTATTTAAGATTGTCCTACTCTTTATATTAGGATGCTTATAATCTTTATTTAAATTATCATAGCCATACTTTACATTTCTTACTGTTTTTAGTATTTAAACATTTTTTAAGTTTAAAGTTTTAAGCTTTTAATATTTATTTTCAGACCCAAACCTTTATTGTTTAAAGGAGATCACAGATACCCCTCATCTAATCCTGAAAGCCCAGTGGTGATTTTCTACTCTGAGATTGGATATGAGGGATTTTATAAGTTCCACCGCCAACTTGTATCACAAAGTAATGAAGGGAAAATCAATTATGTGTTCAGACATTATATATCTGTAAGTATTGACTTATTTTACAATTGTTTTGAATATTAATTTAATATGATGACCTTAGAGCATAAGCTAGCAATTTCTCTATTTGTAAAATAATTTAGTTATTTTAGCTACTTTTTTGAGAAATCCAATACTTTTATCAAATCTATTATTTGTACATAGGAAGTGTTTTCCTTGCCTTTCTGAAGAAATGTAAAACATTTATGCTAAGAAATGGCTTAATAAACTAGACATTATATTTCAAAATAATTGATGTGAATAATATTTTCTAAATTTAATATGGTTTCCTGGCATGGTGGTACACACATGAAGTCGCAGCTACTCCAGGAGGCTGAGGCTGGAGGATCGCTTAAGCCTAGGAGTTCTGAGCTGGAGCGCACTATGCCAGTCACGTGTCCAGCCTAAGTTTGTCATCAATGTGATGACCTCCTGGCAGTGGGGGACCTAATGGGGTTTCCTGAGGAGGAGTGAACCAGCTCAGGCTGGAACCAGGGCCAGTCAAAACTCCTTGCGGATGGGTAACATGATGGGGCCTGTGAATAGCCACTGCACTGCAGCCTGGCAACATAGCGAGACCCCATCTGTGAATGAATGAATGAATGAGTGAATGAATGAATGTCATCCTACTATGGAACTGTAACCTTTTTTTCCTTTTTGGCACCTTTTTTTTTTTTTAACCCCAAGTATCAGTAGTGTTGAGGTTGATTTTTGGCACCTTTTTATTTGGTAGAAGGGAGAGGATTTCTTAAGAGGTGAATCAGGCAGAATTTATTTAAATTTAAAATTTTAACACTTTATGTAACACTTAGCATTTAAAATATTATTATGTAGGGCGGGCGTGGTGGCTCACGTCTATAATCCTAGCACTCTGGCAGGCCAAGGCGGGAGGATCGCTCAAGGTCAGGAAGGAGTTTGAGACCAGCCTGAGCAACAGGGAGACCCTGTCTCTACTATAAATAGAAATGAATTGGCCAATTAAAAATATATAGAAAAAATTAGCTGGGCATGGTGGCATATGCCTGTAGTCCGAGCTACTGGGGAGGCTGAGGCAGGACGATTGCTTGAGCCCAGGAGTTTGAGGTTGCTGTGAGCTAGGCTGACGCCATGGCACTCTAGCCCAGTCAATAGAAGTGAGACTTTGTCTCAAAAAAAAAGAAAAAAAAAATATTATTATGTAAATATTGTTGGCATTTAAAGTTTTTATGTCATAATGTCAGTAGAAATTGGATGCTAAACCCATGCAAATAAAATAAAAATTTTAAAAAGAAAATTTGTACAAGCAGAAACAGGTTGATCAAAGTCCAGTTTTTGATAATTTGTCTCCTGCCCTCTCCCCATCTCCTCACCCTTATTGCTGGTATTTAAGATTAAAATGTCTAAAGAGCCATCATCACTCAGGATGGTGGTGAGCCTGTGACATTTGGTTAGCCCTAGCCCTGCCTGAAGCCATTTAAATTCAATAAAAAACATACACATATACCCTTGGTCCCAACAAAGCGTTTCTGGGATTGAGACCTCACCAGTTGTTAATCCTGTTCAATAGGTTCTGGAATTTCTTTTTCTCTTTCTCCATTTTTCACATGGTTTGGAACCTTTGCTATTTCAGCTGTCCATTCATCTGGTTTTGCTTCTGCCTTGGAATTCTCATTCCTATAGTTGTGGCATGATACAAAATGTAAAAGAGGCTAGGATTTTATAGGGAGAGAAACATATACTCTAAATTGATTTTTTTTTTTTTTTTTTTGAGACAGAGTCTCACTTTGTTGTCCAGGCTAGAGTGCCGTGGCGTCAGCCTAGCTCACAGCAACCTCAAACTCCTGGGCTTGAGTGATCCTTCTGCCTCAGCCTCCCGAGTAGCTGGGACTACAGGCATGCGCCACCATGCCCGGCTAATTTTTTATATATATATCAGTTGGCCAATTAATTTCTTTCTATTTATAGTAGAGACGGGGTCTCGCTCTTGCTCAGGCTGGTTTTGAACTCCTGACCTTGAGCAATCCGCCCGCCTCGGCCTCCCAAGAGCTAGGATTACAGGCATGAGCCACAGCGCCTGGCCTCTAAATTGATTTTTTAAAAATAGAATAAATATTTTAATGATAGGTAAATGATTTTATTACTGTTGGTATTTTGGTAGGTTTTGGACTAAAAAAATTCCTGCAGTGAGCTTTCTTGGCCACATAGTGAATTTCTTTAGCAAACAAATTTAAAGATACTTTGAGTACATAATGGCTAGTAGATGCAACATTACATGGTTGTGTCATGTGTCCTGTGACATGTGAAGAGCTAGGTGGTAATGGTGGAATCTTTGTCTGCTTGCAGAACCCCAGGAAGGAGCCCGTTTACCTCTCTGGCTATGGAGTGGAATTGGCCATTAAGAGCACTGAATACAAGGCCAAGGATGATACTCAGGTGAAAGGTGAATTTGTAAAAATAAGACCAGTGGGTTTTCTTTTTTCTTTAAATATAAGTTAAAGGGGAATTTATTTCCATAATGAAAAAGAATAGATATAGGAGTATGCTGAACCTGTGTTTGAATCCTGGTTTTTGCTACATCTGAGTGAGTTACCTTTAGCAGATTCTCTAGGTCCCAGTTATTTCCTGTATAAAATACAGGTGGTAATAATGTCTCTTCAAGTATTTCAGAGGAGTAAATAAGATGTATAAGTAAAGAATTTGGCATAGTTTTTTTGCACAAAAATGTTATGTGGTTTATAAATAACCATTAATTTGTCTCTCTAGTGTGAAATCTGTTCATTAAACTATCCTGTTTAATGAACAATTTTATGTTCTTTATTATTTTCTGCACTTGTATCAGTTTACTATGGATACTTCCTGTTCAAGCAGGGATGGGGAACTTGTGGCCGCCTAGATCCTTGATTGTGGCCATTTGACTGAATCCAAATTTTTTTTTTTTTTTTTTTTTTTTGAGACAGAGTCTCACTTTGTTGCCCAGGCTAGAGTGAGTGTCATGGCGTCAGCCTAGCTCACAGCAACCTCAAACTCCTGGCTCTAGCAATCCTCCTGCCTCAGCCTCCCAAGTAGCTGGGACTACAGGCATGCGCCAAAAGAGAGATTGGTGAGGCCCTTGCTCTCCCTCTTTCTCTCTCTCTCGTTCTCCTGTCACACACACACACACACACACCACACACACACACACACATTCACATGCACAGACACTGAGTACTCTGAGATTTGAATAGTGTTCTTTTCTTACTTTGTTATTCCTTTTTAGGACTTAGAGATTTATTAATCAAACACTGTGTATTATGTTAGTATGTTTATAATGCACCTTTGTTATTTTTAATGTAACAATAAGACTTATAGGTCATGATATTCCTTACTAATGAAAACTATTTAAGATTGTCCACTCTTATATAGGATGCTTATAATCTTTATTTATTATCAAGCCATACTTTACATTACTGTTTTAGTATTTAACATTTTTAAGTTAAAGTTTAAGCTTTATATTTATTTTAGACCCAAACCTTTATTGTTTAAAGAGATCACAGATACCCCTCATCTAATTCTGAAAGCCCAGTGGTGATTCTACTCTGAGATTGGATATGAGGGATTTTATAAGTTCCACCGCCAACTTGTATCACAAAGTAATGAGAAATCAATTATGTGTTCAGACATTATATATCTGTAGTATGACTTATTTTACAATTGTTTTGAATATTAATTTCTATGATGACTTAGAGCATAAGCTAGCAATTTCTCTATTTGTAAAATAATTTAGTTTTTTAGCTACTTTTTTGAGAATCCAATACTTTATCAATTATTATTGTACTAGGAAGTGTTTTGCTTGCCTTTCTGAGAAATGTAAAACTTTATGCTAAGGCTTAATAACTAGACTTATATTTCAAAATAATTGTGTGAATATTTTCTAAATTTAATGGTTTCCTGGCATGGTGGTACACACATGAAGTCGCAGCTACTCCAGGAGGCTGTGGAGGATCGCTTAAGCCTAGGTTCTGAGCTGGAGCGCTAGCCAGTCACGTGTCCAGCTAAGTTTGTCATCAATGTGATGACCTCCTGGCAGTGGGGGACCTAATGGGGTTTCCTGAGGAGGATGAACCAGCTCAGCTGGAACCAGGGCCAGTCAAACTCCTTGCGGATGGGTAACATGATGGGCCTGTGAATAGCCACTGCACTGCAGCCTGGCAACATAGCGGACCCCATCTGTGAATGAATGAATGAATGAGTGAATGAATGAATGCATCCTACTATGGAACTGTAACCTTTTTCTTTTTGGCACCTTTTTTTTTTCTAACCAAGTATCAGTAGTGTTGAGGTTGATTTTTGGCACTCTTTTTATTGGTAGAAGGAGGGATTTCTTAAGAGGTGAATCAGGCAGAATTTATTTAAATTTAAAATTTAACATTTATGTAACACTTAGCTTTAAATATTTATGTAGGCGGTCGGTGGCTCACGTCTATAATCCTAGCACTCTGGCAGGCCAGGCGAGGATCGCTCAAGGTCAGAAGGAGTTTGAACCAGCCTGAGCAACAGGGAGACCCTGTCTCTACTTATAAAGAAATGATTGGCCAATTAAAATATATAGAAAAATTAGCTGGGATGGTGGCATATGCCTGTAGTCCAGAGCTACTGGGGAGGCTGAGGCAGGATGATTGCTTGAGCCAGGAGTTGAGGTTGCTGTGAGCTAGGCTGACGCCATGGCACTCTAGCCCAGTCATAGAGTGAGACTTTGTCTCAAAAAAAAAAAAAAATATTTATGTAAATATTTTGGCATTAAAGTTTTTATGTCATAATGTCAGTGAAATTGGATGCTAAACCCATGCAAATAAATAAAATTTTAAAAAAAATTTGTACAAGCAGAAACAGGTTGATCAAAGTCCAGTTTTTGATAATTTGTCTCCTGCCTCTCCCCTCTCCTCACCCTTATTGCTGGTATTTAAGATTAAAATGTCTAAAGAGCCATCATCACTCAGGATGGTGGTGAGCCTGTGACATTTGGTTAGCCCTAGCCCTGCCTGAAGCCATTTAAATTCAATAAAAACATACACATATACCTTGGTCCCAACAAAGCGTTTCTGGATTGAGACTCACCGTTTTAATCCTGTTAAATGGTTGTGGAATTTTTTTTCTCTTTCTCCATTTTTCACATGGTTTGGAACCTTTGCTATTTCAGCTGTCCATTCATCTGGTTTTGCTTCTGCCTTGGAATTCTCATTCCTATAGTTAGGCATGATACAAAATGTAAAGAGGCTAGATTTTATAGGGAGAGAAACATATACTCTAATTGATTTTTTTTTTTTTTTTTTTTGAGACAGAGTCTCACTTTGTTGTCCAGGCTAGAGTGCCGTGGCGTCAGCCTAGCTCACAGCAACCTCAAACTCCTGGGCTTGAGTGATCTTCTGCCTCAGCCTCCCCGAGTAGCTTGGGACTACAGGCATGCGCCACCATGCCGGCTAATTTTTATATATATATCAGTTGGCCAATTAATTTCTTTCTATTTATAGTAGAGACGGGGTCTCGCTCTTGCTCAGGCTGGTTTTGAACTCCTGACTCTTGAGCAATCCGCCCGCCTCGCCTCCCAAGAGCTAGGATTCAGCGCGTGAGCCACAGCGCCTGGCCTCTAAATGATTTTTAAAAATAGAATAATATTTAATGATAGGTAAATGATTTATTACTGTTGTATTTTTAGGTTTTGACTAAAAAAATTCTGCAGTGAGCTTTCTTGGCCACATAGTGAATTTCTTTAGCAACAAATTTAGACGTTTCTTTGAGTACATAATGCTAGTAGAGCAATTACATGGTGTGTCATGTGTCCTGTGACTGTGAAGAGCTAGGTGGTAATGGTGGAATCTTTGTCTGCTTGCAGAACCCAGGAAGGCCCGTTACCTCTCGGCTATGGGAGTGGAATTGGCCATTAGAGCACTGAATACAAGCAAGGATGGATACTCAGGTGAAAGGTGAATTTGTAAAAATAAGACCAGTGGGTTTTCTTTTTTCTTTAAATATAAGTTAAGGGGATTTATTTCCATAATGAAAAGAATAGATATAGGAGTATGCTGAACCTGTGTTTGAATCCTGGTTTTTGCTACATCTGAGTGAGTACCTTTAGCGAATCTCTAGGTCCCAGTTATTCCTGTATAAAATACAGGTGGTAATAATGTCTCTTCAAGTATTTCAGAGGAGTAAATAAGATGATAGTAAGAATTTGGCATATTTTTTTTTGCACAAAAATGTTATGTGGTTTATAATAAACCATTATATTGTCTCTCCAGTGTGAAATCTGTTCATTAAATATCCTGTTTAATGAACAATTTTATGTTCTTATTATTTTCTGCACTTGTATCAGTTTACTATGGATACTCTCTGTTCAAGCAGGATGGGGACTTTGTGGCCCAGCCTAGATCACTTGATTGTGGACCATCTTGACTGAATCCAAAATTTTTTTTTTTTTTTTTTTTTTGAGACAGAGTCTCACCTTTGTTGCCAGGCTAGAGTGAGTGTCATGGCGTCAGCCTAGCTCACAGCAACCTCAAACCCCTGGCTCTAGCAATCCTCCTGCCTCAGCCCTCCAGTAGCTGGACACGCATCGCCATCCCATTCCGCTAATTTTTTCTCTATATATTAGCTGGCCAATTAATTTCTTTCTATTTATAGTAGAGACGGGGTCTCGCTCTTGCTCAGGCTGGTTTCGAACTCCTGACCTCGAGCAATCCACCCGCCTCGGCCTCCCAGAGAGCTAGGTTCAGGCGTGAGCCACCGCGCCCGGCCTTTTTTTTTTTTTTTTTTTTTGAGAAAGAGTCTCGCTTTGTTGCCTAGGCTAGAGTGAGTGCCATGGCGTCAGCCTAGCTCACAGCAACCTCAAACTCCTGGGCTCAAGCGATCCTTCTGTCTCAGCCTCCCAAGTAGCTGGGAGTACAGGCATTCGCCACCATGCCCGGCTAATTTTTTTATATATATTAGTTGGCCAATTAGTTTCTTTCTATTTATAGTAGAGACGGGGTCTCGCTCTTGCTCAGGCTGGTTTCGAACTCCCGACCTCGAGCAATCCACCCGCCTCAGCCTCCCAGAGAGCTAGGATTACAGGCGTGAGCCACCTCGCCCGGCTTGAATCCAAATTTTATAGAAGAAATCCCTTTAATAAAGGAATTTGTTCTGTGAAGTTTGGCTTTAGTTCAGGACCTGCACTTGGGGATCCCAAGGGCCACATGTGGCCTTGAGGTGCAGGTGCCCCACCCCTGTGAGGGTTTTTTTTGTTTTGTTTTTGTTTGCTTCTGAGATTATGCAGGGAGACCTGTGAGGGTTATGAATTTATTATTTCATCTACAAGTTTATATGTTGTCCTTTTAGCCCATTTTAAAGATAAAAAATGATCAGTTTAGGTAGTAAAGCAAATGAAAAATAACCTAGTCATCATTTTGATTTCCTCAGTAATTATTA